CCTGAACATGTTTTTGGAATACATCCTGGTGCCACACAGCTGTACATTCAACTTATGCCGGGGACATCTCAGCCAATACCAAGAGAACTAGTTTTAACTAGAGCCTTTCTGCCAAGATCTATACTCAAGAAGAAGAGCTACCACCAGCACTCATAGGACAAACAGCTGTCACCTAGAGGGCACCAACTTGAAGCCAAACCTACACTTCTCCCTGAATAGATTAAAGTAAGATCAAGAAATTGAGATAGAGTCATTATCAAAGATGAAATAGTGGATATTTGTCAAAGAATATAAAGTCATGAAACAGATGGACATATTCAAATAAAATACTCTCTAAAAATATATCAAAGAAATGATAGGAAAATTGTGGCTGAAGATTTGGTTTAAGGAACTCTCTCAGCATCACCAAGAAGAGGAAAGACAAACGTGTGGAAGACAGTGTTTTCATTGTAACCACTCAAACATCCCTCTTCTCAGGGGCCCCCAGAGCTCAAGGTAGAGGGCAGCACAGACATCCCGAGTCCCAGCCGTGGTGGACAGGTGGCTGATTCACCCACGGTGCCTGCTGTGCTCAGAGAGCTCACTGACTGAGTTACAGAAAACATATTAGGCGTAGCAGTGGGCAGTGGACATTACGTCGTATGTTTACGAAGTCATCATTTCTGTCAGTATAAAATACCATCCTTGTTAATGGGAATGCAGATTTTTGACCCTGATTCTACGTCAACGTCTAGAGCTACAGAGCCTAGAACTATAGCACATTAAAAACCATTAGTTTTTGTAAGAACTGAAAAAGAATATTCAGTGTTAGATTCCTGATCTAGTTGATCCTGATTCTTGCTGGACTATTCAGAATCAAGAAAACCTGAAAACTAGCTTCTCTTTGAAAGCATCCATCAAGATGAACCACAGAAATGGGCTTACAGATGGAACAATTTCTTATGGGAAACACCCATTCTTAAGATGAGCAGCGTGGCCGCTGAGGAAGGTGGGCACCTGCCACATGACGTATCTGTAGGCCGTGAGGATTTTGTTCCTGTCTCATGAGAAAATGTCAGGCAAGAACTTTTCCTAACTGACAAATTAGGAAATTCATCTTTACCTCCTGTTCAACTCATCCTGACAAGAAAAGTCAGGGCTGGTGCCTGTAGGCCCCCGTCTGAAGACTCTAGAGAATAAGCCATGGGCTGAACTGATAAACAAGCTGTGAGGAATGTCACGTATCCAGGCTGGATAAGAAATGGCCTACTTAATGTATCCAGTATGGACAGCTGGATAGCCAGTGATGGGTAAGATCCTCAGAGGAGGACAACCTAAGACAGGCAGAGCCGGCTGGATAAGAGATGGCCTACTTAATGAAGTTTCATGGCGAACTTTCAAACAATCTGTCCTTGATCATGTGACATCCTGTGCTTACTGCAGGAGTTTAGGGACCTAAATAGCTTAGGATTATTAACATTGTTATAACTTAGATGATATGTGAGGCACCGTGCATGTCCTATATAAATCCTTTTCTAAGAATCAATAGAGAACTGCTTCGCTTCTCTCCGCATGGTGTTCATGTGTACATGATATTGCACCACCGACAGTTCCATTAAGAGGACACAGCTGTGTTACAACCGTGTCGGAAGCTCAACTTAAGATCAGGACAAAGGGATAACATGGTCTTTTCAGAGATATAATCAGCCAGTGGGTCGGCCCTGCACACAGCATGGGCATTGCCAACCCCTGAACCTCAATCCTTCACCACCCGACAGACAAGGGGCAGAGTGTGGAAGACCAAGATCTGGATCCACAGGTATGGTAGATGGAAGGAGGGCACCTGAGCAACCCAGGGCCACAATAAATCCTGCCCTTGTCATCGACATCCCTGGGAGCAAGATGAAGTGACTCTCCCCCAGAGCAGGCAGGTGGTAAGAAACTCCACTTGGACCATCTAAATACTCTAGCTTAGAAATGTCCCTTGTAAGGGCACTGAAGAGTAGGTTTCAGGAAGACATAGGTCAAATAAGGACCTAGGCTTTGGCCAGCAGAGGCCGGGATGATGGAGGTCAAACACCACACACAGCAAGAAGGGGAAGCCAGAGCCAAACGCACTCGGCCACAGCTTCCCTAGAAGCCAGAACAGGGTCCAGTTGATCCAGGCACGTGGTCTAGGCCTGCCAGGGACTGCCAGCAGGGGGGTTCAACACATCCCTTTTCCTTCTCAATGCAACCTTAGGAGTTTTAGATGGGGGAGTCGGCGGTGGGGGGCAGCATGACCAGACTAGGTTACTAGACTCGAGGGGAGCCAAGGAAGGTAGGATGTCAGGACAGAATAAATTCATTAAACAAAAGATCAAGTGTTCAAATTCAAATGGGATGTAGCCACTTCTTAAAAGTGAAAACACTTTATGAAAACTATTGACAAAAAAACCCCAAGATCTTATATCATATTTCCTCAAAGCAAGAGGTAGATAGCAATGAAATGCAATAGTTGACATACGCATGTGGAAATCTCAATTTGCTGATCTCCATTATATACCAATGAAGAAATCAGCCATAAAGTTTTTACAATATTTATCTTAGAATAACTCATGACTTGTAAGGGGGGTCTGTGATGAGGGAGATTTAGTTTTACATCCTCAACAAAGTCTTATCTATTTGTGGAAGAGAATGAGTCATACAAAGGCAAGTCATCCCTTGAATACAAGGGAATTTAATTTTGTTAGTTTGGGGCACCCTATGATATTTAATACACACAGACATTGTGGGAGGCGGAGATGGCAACAAGGCTAAATGAGATGAGAGGGG